GCTTGTGACAAAAATGAATTTCTCCAGCAAAACAAAGATACCCAGATGATGTACTACTCTGGCCAAACATTCAGTATGCAGCCATATAATGTATGCATATAATGTACACATATGTATGTATACATGCGCATACATATTATACGTTATATACATATATATTCACACATTATATACGTATATGTTCACAAATTTTATATATATATATATATATATATATATATATATATATATATATATATATATATATATATATATATATAAAAGAATTATATATATAATGTCAATTCACAAGTATGCAACTGCCTGGTGGTCGAGTGACCCTGTAGTACAGTACACGATTGTAATTTATTGTATACTAGATACTGCTATATCCAGGGACAAAACCGAGATGCATCTTGGTGGGCGCTACCAACTTGGTGGGATAAAAATTCTGACATACGATAACAGCCGCTGTAAGTTCACACTGCTTTATTGGCTGATATGATTATCAGTAGTGATGCATTTTTTCAGACTGTGTATGATTTCAAGTACTTAGATCGACATAGATTCTGACACCACACTGAGTAATCCACATAGAATTAAACAGGCTGGTTTTTGGTGTAAATGAATGCGATGTATCTTTACAGTTAAATCATTAAAATCTCAATGATTTTAAATAAATAAAGTGCAATAAATGATGTGCATTAGCTTGCTATGTTAACATTAGTTACCTTGGATTGAATAGCATTGCGGCAGAGAAAAGTATTTTGCTCCACATAAGAAAAGTGCTTCTGTACTGTAAGGAAAGTGTGTTTCACAGTTTTGATCACATGCTCTTCATCTGCCTCTTTCAACAACAGTCTCTGTAGTACACAGACAACAGGAATCACATCTGAGGCTAATGCAGCCAAAGAGCTCACTTGTTGACATTTATATCATGTTGGATTCCTTTGTTTGGTTGGTTGCGCTGCAGCTGAATGTCCTCTAGAGCCAGGCATTCACAGTGCCATTTAAGAAATCTTTTTCTTTGGTGAAAACTCACACTGTAAGTTTAAATAGACCATCATGTATGAACAAAGCCTATCATTTATAAACTCACACTAAGAAAATGCTCATGAAACGCAGCCAGTATTGGTATCGATGCATCCCTAGCTGTCAATTATCAGTTTTACAGTCTAAAATACTATAAATATTGTAGACCTATGGGTAGATTTTGGGTACCTTTAAATTTTTCTTTTTTGTTTTCTTCATGACAACATTTTCTTTGTAACAACATGCTGTCCCCGCTAAAAGTTCTAACCACAATGGTGTTCAGATTTACCAGCGTAGCCCGTATTGCTGCCATATACTTAAAGAGGGGCTCTCTTATAGGGTCACCCAGTGGTATAACTCACAAGTTTCACCCTGCCATTGGGAGGTTGTGAGTTTGAATAGTCGTGATGCTGTGTTGGCAATTCTCAGCACATTATCTGCAATATTTCTACTGATACAGAGAATAGCACAGATTATCAATCAGCCAATACTACTAGCATATTACTGTATACTACTATAAGAAGTAGTATGCAGTATACAATACACAGTATACTATTCTGAACATAGCTTCTGTATCATTTTTTTGGTTTTCATAACCTTAATAATGTCTCAATGACGCATTTACTGCTTTTGTTTGTTTACATTTATTTGCCTCAACCCAGTGCGCTGCTTAATACTTAATACTGCTTAAAACTGTGAAAACTAACTACTGTGGAAAATGACTGCAGTCAGCTTAAACAACTGATCATCTCCAGTAACTGCGACAGGCCTACTTACAGCACAGTGCCATTTGTCCATGTATGAAATCAGCTCCACGAATAAAGCAATTGTGCATCATGAACTATACTAGAGTAGTAATGGATCAGGCCACGCTTGCACACTATAGGTCCTTAAAGACTACAGCATCTCTCTTTCATCATCAGTCTGTCACTTCCCAGTCAGAGAGGTTGGTTGTATTTAACTGAGGACCAATCAGACTAAACATTTGGGTAGAAAGACAGACCATCTATCTCCCTTCTCCATTTTCATCATTGAGAGACATTGATGAATGGGGCTTTGAACTTGCCTGTGGCAAACGGGGGCCTCCATCAATCTTCCATCGCTTTTCCTCCTACACAGACTCAAATGCTCAAGCATATATATATTCTACAACTCGATTAAACATGTAACCCCCATTTCTTCAACGTCTCAGTCCCAGCTAGAATTTTGATCAGGAACTATTGAAGGATAATGAACCAATACTTAAAAAAAGAACAAAACTTAACTGCATGGCTGGTACTGGCGTGGGCTTAAACTGCATTACGATAAAAAGACGGCTGGTGCGCTCACACAAAGGCAGTTGAAGGCTGTGCAGTTACTGTAAAGCTGATATTAGGCTGAGCCTCTCATCACTGTCAGGAATGAATAGCACAGAGGCTCATAATCCTCCGAGCTCCTCACCCCCAGAGGCTGCTGCCTCCCGAGTGGGCCCGTGAACACAGTCAGATAACAGGCCAGCCCCTGGCCCCGGGCCCCCCGGGTCCCGGCTAGACGGCCTAATCCCATTGGTGGCAGGCGACAGTTCCGCACAGAACAGAAAAGGAGGGTGTTAAGACAACAGCAGGGAAACACAACATGATGGTAAAAAAACTGAACCCTGAGTAAAGAGTGCCAAGTCAAGTCCTGAAGTAAAGCTGTAAGCTACAGAAATGGACATTGTAATATTGTACAAAGGTCAAGAACTTTTTTCTGTTCTGTTTCTCCCTAGTGTAATATATATATATATATATATATATATATATATATATATATACATATATACATATATATATATATATATACATATATATATACATACACACACAAACATACATATATATGTATGTGTGTATGTTGTAAGGCAAACAGCACCCAAAAGACACTTATTTCTTTCACTATTTTATGGATCCCTGCTGGTGACATCCCATATAAATAAAAGTAATGTGTGCCACCACTTAGTAAGGCATGTGAATGAGATCATGCCTTAGTAAGTTGTGGCCATGCATTAGGATCTAGTTCCCACACCTTACTAAGTCATGGCCACAACTTAATTCTCATTCCCACACCCTATTAAGTCGTGGCCACGCATTATTTTTATTTATACAGGATGTCACCACAGGATGGCTATATTTGTGTTGGACATCACGACTCCTGGTTCCTGTCACCACCACTGTAAAGAAATCTGAGTCGGTAAGTTTCTCTCCAATTAGCCATTTCACATCAAACCACTCTGAATGCCTTTGTTTGCATCTCAGTTAATAAGCAAAGCAGGAATTTTGAAAAATCAGTGGAATTCCCCTTTACTCATGGTAACGTATGGGGATCGTTTTCACACGTGCTGTGACCTACAGGAGGTAAACACTGCAGAGACAGCACATTTCGACCGGGGAGGTAATCAGACCAGTGTATTGAACAGAAATGGTTCAAAAGAACTAAATCGTTCACTAATCGGACATTAAACAGCACAGATATCGTTATCACAGACCGACACGTCAAACACGATTCTGGCCCTTTTAGAGGCGGGTCCTCATCCGACCACTAGGCGGCTCCCACCACGTGCCCATATTTGCAATACGAGGCATTTAAATGTCCGGCCCCCGCTGCCAAACCAAAGACCAAACACTCGTAGCAAACAGAAAAGGCTCCAGTGTTTCGCCAAAGTGAGGGGCCTCTTTGGACCTGCAAACAAGCCGCCGGCAAACGTTTGAACAGGCAGGCAAATCGCTCGCCAGCAGTGCGCTAAAATAAACTCATCTGATCTGGAGAAACAGAGGAATTCCCAATGTGTGAACTACACGGCTGCTCTTTGTTTAGTGCCCCCTCCTCACTTCTCCTCAAAAATATTTCTCACCCCTTTTTTCCACCGCTTGTGCTTCACGATAAGCCCACCACTGATCGGACATCATCACACCACAACAACAAAGAGTTAAGAGCGAGCACTAAAAAAAGTGGATATTATTTAAACTTTATGTAGAGTACAGCGACGATTTGGACACTTAAAGCTAGAACAGCACAGCTGTGTCAATCACACTGAAAATAATGCACCTCAACAGCGCGACTGAACCAGCCTTAACTAGGTCGAAGTTGGTTTTCTATTCACCAGCTACTTATTCGTATGTTCCCGTTCCACCTTAAATGGTGCAGCAGTTACATGATTCGGACAAACTGACTTCAACTTTGTAGTGACAACAGTGACAGGAGGAAAAAGGCAATAATCTAGAAACGATAGTGTCTACATTACGCTACATAATAAATCTGGACGGGTTGCTGCTTTACTAACTTACGTCTGAACAAAATCTTGATTAAAACTCAAGCTCGTTAGTTATCCGTGAAAGAAAAACAACGCTTGTGCCAGCAGCTCCAACTTAAACCACTCAACCTGAAAGCCTGCAACAACTTCTGAAACCGAGTTTCTTTTGTTACTGATAAACTTAGCGACACCTCCGCGTCAAGGTAGACATTTCTGTCATTATATTTAACGGAAAAACAATAAAACCTGTGGTTATTTACGCGTCCAAATGTAAAAAAGTACACGCTGAGTCCCTCAGCTGGGGGTTCTGGCTCCGAGCTAACGTACAATGCTAACGAGACGGATTAGCGAGTTAGCTAACGTTAGAAATGCAACGCGATTCTGTTTTGTTTTCTGCCCCGAGTCGTTTTGCCTCCTGTAAGAAATTAGTTGAGCCGGTCAGTCTAACAAGTCGGGAAAAAGTAGAGATATGAAACAAAACAGAAATAGCATAAGCCGAGTTGTACGGAAAGTGCAGCCAACAAGACCGATTTCGTAACGTTACTACGGATAACAACAACAAAGCTCCACATGAGCCCCTCTCAGCTGTAGCCTGCGCTTCACAACACACACAGCTGAGTCTGAGACTGACACCGCAAACTGCCTGGGATATAGAAGCAGAGGATGAGATAAACTGCCACTTCTGGCCACCTTATGACGCGGAAATGTTTAAATTCCTCACCTGCCGTGAAACCAGTCCTTACAAATGTCGCATTCTATCATAAACCGGCTCACATCGTACGGCTGCCGGCAAACGCAGTACAGCGGGGCCGTCGCCATCTTCGCTCTGCTCACCAAAAGCAGCAGCGATGTCCGAGTCGTGAATGAATCGTCATTTTGAATCGATTCGTTCGGATCTTTTTTTCTCAATAAAACGATCGAATCGATTCAGGAGTTCCAACAGAATTCCCAACTTTTTTTGCAGCATCTCCAGCGTTCGTGTATTTCTACTTAAAATAAAATATTATTTTACTTAGTTTAGCATTATAAAATGAACATACCACCGTGAACTGATTCACAAAATCCAACTCAAGCAACGATATGCCGATTCGATATTCGATAAGCCGTTATGTATAAATAAATAAATGAACGAATGAATGAATGAATGAATGAATGAATGTGCAAGTTTTGCTCACATAGCTGTAACTGGCATCCCAGTTCCTTTTGTCTTTTTGTCTTTAGCAGCTTAAACGGTCTATACTGTGAGCTCTTATCCTATGTGAATGCATGTTATACCCTGTCTTGATTAACAACTCTTCTAAATTAATCGCATAAAATAACCAACCTTCTCCTTGCCAACCCACTGGAACGAGAATGAATCGGACTTTCGATTCAGTCAAATGAATCACTCGAGCAAATCGGTTCTATTTGCTGAATCACTACAGCCCTGCGGGGCGGGACTTCGCTTAATGAGGCGGAAAGGGCCGACTGGGGTTTTAAAAAACCGATCACACACGAAACAAACGAGTCTGGGCTGCGTGCTTTCACGTCATACCAGACGCTATTTGGGGGGCGGGGGGGGCGCATTACACGTCGTCAAATTACATAACATACTACAATGAAGCTTTTAATGAGAGCTTAGTTGACCCCAGTATTACAGAAAATAGAGCAAAACGCTACGTGGACACACAATCCATCTGCCAAATACTGAAAATATATAAAAAAAAGACATTAAAATATGCCTGAAGCTCATGGTTTAGCGTGTGTGCTATAATTTGATCTGGTACTTTTTCTTTCTTTCTTTCCCATTGTGTTTGCAGTTCAGCCCAAAGGAAAACGTTTGTTGCTTATATAAAATTCCTTTTTTGGGTTCAATTTCATTGCTTAGAGCTCATGCATTACTTTCATACCTCCCATTTTGGACCTTTGCCATTTTAGACTAAACAGGAGTCTTGAAAGAGAAGGATAGTGACTTCAGTGCCTCTGCTGATAGGAGAACCTCCCCTGCAGTTCTGTAGCCAGTTTTTGACCTGCTCACCTTGAGTTTTAATACCTACTTTTACTTCAACTTGATGAGTCACTATTTTATTCCAGCAGTAATATAGTTACATTGCTGTGGTTTTAAGCTCCACGACCCTCCTATGCAGATGATTCCTATTGTCATCAGTTTCCGTACGGAACACATCTGAAGATGTTTCTGGAATCCTACTGTTGATAGTGTACTGTATTAAAGACTAGTGGGTCAGTTCCTCCTGTGAGTGATAAAGTGTGACCAGGCCACCACATGGACATAAATGAGTCTGCAGGACAGCTTCTAACATCACCATCACATGTTTATGCTCTGGCTTCCAGGCAAACGGTATCAGAGCGTGAAACAAAGGACCACTAGCCAGTGAAACTTGTGAATGATTCCGTTCCACCACCTCTCCCCTCTTTAGTACCCTTTGTAGCCATGTGTTGATCAGCTGACCCTTTTATTAATTCACTGCCAGCCATTACTGGTTGCTGCTGTTTAACTTGCATATATTGTCTGATATTGTATGTTTGTTTATGTTATATTGTGTTGTAAATTTTGAGCACTGAAGTGATGTACATTCACCTGCATCTGTAACATGATTAAAGTCATACATGGCTCTGGATAAGAGCGACCTGCCAAATGCCATGAATGTAAACATGGCCCATGATAGCTGTAGGCTAGCACACACACACACACACACACACACACACACACACACACACACACACACACACATATACACACACACACACACATACACACACATTTTCTAAGCTGCTTATCCTTTGGGTTGCAGGGGGTGCTGGACCCCATTCCAGTGGTCGCTGGGCGGAAGGCTGGAAACGCTGTGGACAGGTCACCAGTCCATCACAGGGCAGACACACAGACAAACACATTTACACACACATTTACACCTAAGTGGGTTAAAAAAAAAGCACCAAAAAGCATTCTTCAATTGTTACAGGCTTGACATGACAATAGAAGAACGCTTTTTGGTGCTATTTAGAACACTTTTCAAAAAGGTTCTATATAGAACCATACACAGCACATTCTCCATCAGTCTGAAGAACCATTTAACATTGTAAAGAACAAAGGGTTCTTTCAGTGTTCATCGTTCTATATAGAACCATTTTCTTTACTAAAGAACCCTGTAAGAAACCATCATTTTTAAGAGTGATATCACATCAGAAAATGAAGTTCCACTGCTCCACAGCCCAATGCTGGGGGGCTTTATACCTCTTCTAGCCCATGCTTAGCATTGGGCACAGTGACCTTAGGCTCATGCTGCTCCAGAGGGTCCCATTCTATTGGTCAATACATTTCTGTGGAGATTATTCAAACTGCAGTTGAATGCCTGCGTCAGCACTTTCAAGTAGTTGAATTTACTCATTAGAATGGCTGTCTGCAAAGTTTTATATATATATATTTGTAAGTATTATTGTTATAAAAATACAACCACATTTCCAAAAATGTTGGGATGCTCTGCAAAATGTAAATAAAACAAAATGCAATGTGTGATTTGCGATGTGTTCATTTTGAATTTGATGCCAACAACGACGGGGGCAATAAAAGGTTTGTAAAGATCTGTAATTCTAAAGAAACACCTGGTAGCTGATTGGCCACAGGTCAGTAACATGATTGGGTATAAAATCTCAGAAGGCTGAGTTTTTCAGCTGTAAAGATAAGGAGGGGGTCACCACTCTGTGAAAGACTGCATGAGCAAATAGTGCAACAATTCAAGAAGCCAGTATTCATGCATTAGTATGGGTGACATGCACATCTGTGAAGGCACCATTAATGCTGAACAATATATACATGTTTTGGCAACATATGCTGCCATCCAGATGATGTCTTTTTCAGGGAAGGCCTCGATTATTTCAGCAAGACAATGTCAAACCACATTCTGCACATATTACAGCAGCATTGCTCTGTATTAAGAGTCTGGGTGCTAAACTGACCTGCTTGCAGTCCAGATTTGTCACTCACTGAAAACATTTGAAGGGTTATGAAATGAAAAATACAACAAAGGAGACCCTGAACTGTTGTGCAGCTTAAATCCTATGTTAAGCAAGAATGGAAAAACATTTCACTTTCAAAACTACAGCAATTGGTCTCCTCAGTTTCCAAACACTTACAGAGTGTTGTTAAATGAAGAGTTGATGAAACACAGTGGTAAACATGCCCCCGTCCCAACTTTTTTGGAACGTGTTGTTGGCATCAAATTCAAAATGGGCATATATTTTTCAAAAAACAATAAAATTTCTCAGTTTTAACATTTGATATTTTGTCTTTGTAGTATTTTCCTTTAAAATTATGGTCTACATGATTCGCATATCATTGCATTCTATTTTTATTTACATTCTGCGCAGCGTCCCAACTTTTTTGGAAATGGGGTAGTAATAACTGAGAGAGCTGTGTGGCCTAGAGAATGAACATATAACAAAATTAAAATCCAGAATGATTCATATTCAATGTGGTGACCACATCTGACTGATAAAATAGCAATTCATAGTAGTTTTATGTCAAGAATTCACTATAAATGGACAATTACAGTGTATTATTTAACCCTAACCCTAACATTTACTGTTTGTGCCATGTAATATCTTCTTGTTGTTCTCAAAATACTTAAATTGTGAATAAACCATTGGTTTACATGTTGCTGTCTAGTTTATAACATTTCAGTCTACACTGTATAAATTATTACTGACTCACATTAACATATGTGATTCCAGTCATTTGAACAGTGGTAAGTAAGTAAGTAAGTAAAGTTTACAACAGGTGTTGTCACAAAGCAGCTTTACAAGGAAATCAGCATTACAGAAAGAAATCCGGGTCCAAGCCCCCATGAGCAAGCCAGTGGCGACAGTGGCAAGGAAAAACTCTCTAGGAAACAGGAAGAAACCTTGAGAGGAACCAAGACTCAGAAGGGGAACCCATTCTCCTCTGGTTGACACCGGATAGTAAACATTGTTAGCACAAAAACAGGGAAAGCAGGTGGAACAATGATTAATTTGATTAGTTTAGTTCATGCAGCAGCAGCAGCGGCAGCATCAGCATCAGTGGGGTCAGGTTGTGAGGGTGAGGTTTGCATGGCGTAGTACAGCATGGAGCTTGAAGGTGGTCCAGAGGGCTGGCGGGCAGTGGCACCCAATCAAGGCAGAAGAGGCAGCAGCATCAGACGCACAGGATGGGCAGCTGTTCAACTCGGCAAAGGAAAGAAAGAAAGGAAAAACACACAGAGAGTCAGTTCTGTAATGTGTGATTGATTAATTTGATTAGTTTAAATGATTGATTAGTTCAAATGATTAATTTGATTAGTTTAGTTTAGGGCAACAGCAGCATCAGTGGGGTCGGGATTGTGAAGGTGAGGTTTGCACGGCGTTGTACAGCAAGAAGCTCAATGGTGGTCAAGCCGGTCCAGAGGGCTGGCGAGCAGTGGCACCCGATCAAGGCAGAGAGGCAGCAGCATCAGAATGAACAGGATGGGCAGCTGTTCAACTCGGCAAAGGAAAGAAAGAAAAGGCAAAAACCCACAGAGAGTCAGGTCTGTAATGAGTGACTGACAGAACTGAGAGTCAGTTCTGTAATGGGTGTCAGTTCTGTAATGGGCGACTGATTACAGATTACAGTGTTAGCAGAGCAGCGGAGACTCTGGCAGGTATAGAACTGACAGGGAAAACTAATTTCCAAAGGCTTGACTATACAAGTAAGTTTTTAGCTTAGACTTAAAGACTGAGGCTGTGTCTGAGTCCCGAACATTAACAGGAAGATTATTCCAAAGCTGGGGGGCTTTGTATGAGAAGGCTCTCCCCCCTAATGTAACTTTATCAATTCTAGGTACTAATAGTAAGCCAGTACCTTGTGATCTAAGTAGGCGTGATGGTTCATAGTGGAGAGAGAAGTTCACTCAGGTACTGAGGGGCGAGTCCGTTTAGAGCTTTATAAGTCAGTAAGAGAATTTTATAATCAATGCGAAATTTAACTGGTAACCAGTGTAGCGTTGATAAAACTGGGCTGATATGGTCAAACTTTCAGGTTCTAGTAAGAACTCAGGCTGCAGCGTTCTGGACCGACTGAAGCTTGTTAAGGCTTTTGCTGGGACATCCAGACAGCAGGACATTACAGTCATCTAGCCTTGAAGTAATAAATGCATGAACTAACTTTTCTGCATCCTGTAGAGAGAATGCATTTCTCAGTTTAGCAATATTGCTGGGATGCAGGAAGGCTGTTCTAGTAATATTAGTTATGTGTGCGTCGAAGGACAGATCAGGGTCTATAATGACACCAAGGCTTTTTACAGATGA